ATGTATATAAAATCTTAAAAGGTTTAAATTCAAATTATTACCACTAGAAAATAAGGTATAAATGATAATATTATAATTAATAATCAAATTATTGTCAAATTATAAAAATATAATCGATAAAATTAACAAAATTTTTATCTTATGATTTTTTATTTGTTATGTTTGCAGTCTTATGCGTTAATCGACAATAATTATAATCGATCATTTTTCTGTGAATTATATTCAGATGATAAACAGAAATTTAACTGTCCATTATAAATAATGGACAGCTGATTGGGGTTAGATCTTCAACATGCTCGACAGAATTGTTGTGGATTTTGGGCATGACCGATAACTTTGGCTGTCGGTTACGTTTGTTCATTATTCCCCACTTCTCCTCGCTTTTCCTATTTTCTTCTGTTTTTCCTTTCTTCTCCGGCGAGGTTAGCTTTAGCCGTTCGTGCTGCACTGAGTAGCTGACCGGCGCTCGTCCTGCTCTCTAAGTCCCCACGCCAGTGACGGTAATTTTGCAGCATTCTCGGTAGATTTTGATGGTCTTTGTTCGGTTTTCCTTGGATTTACAGTGCCTATTCCCTTTTCTTCTTGTAGATCTGTGCCCCAAAACCAAACTCCACCGACTCCACATCACAACATCGGCCAGAGGAGCTAACCGCCGCCGCCTTGCCTGGAAATCGGCATACCGTCCACGGTTAGTTTTCTCGCCTAATTTTTGTTTTCCCCTTTGATTTTGATACAGAAGAGAAGGTAGAAATAGAGATAGAATCAGGATGAGAAAGAAGAGAAATTGCAGAAAAAGAAAGTTGAGAGGAAGAAAATGTTACAGATTAAAAGAGAAGGTAGAAAGTCCTTTTGTTTCTTCTTGTCTACTTCTGCTTTTGATAAAGCTATGGTTCCCCGCAAAGCTGAACTCATCAACTTAAATCCACAAACTAAATATAAAACCTTTGATTTCCCCGCAAACAACCACTGAGTAGACCAAAAAATGACATTCCCCAAAATTTCAGCAGTCAATCTACCACACAAATCAACCATTAGCAATACACACCATTTCCACAATTCCAATTCCTTGTTAGCATTAAGGAAATCTGAGTGCAAGATACCCAATTTTGTTTTCTATTCTTTGCTTGTCTTTAGGACAGAATTTATCTCGTCCTTAAAGAACACAATTGTTTGTTCTTTTTCTTTATAACAGAATTTATCCTTTTCTTACTTACCTCATACCAGAAAAAGAACATATCAGTTTTATTTTTTGAAAAAAAATTTGTTCATAACACTAATTTGTTGATAATACTCCATTTGTTTCATGTACCAAAAAAAAAAAAAAAATACTCCATTTGTTTCAAATAACTGTTTTATTTTTTTAATTAGGAATTTGATGATAATTTATACTTCTATTACACTTAAAAAATAGATAAAGAGAGACTTCTGATAATAAGATGACTGATTGAAATAAATAAGATAAGGTTAAAATAAAAAAAATGATAAATAAGCTTTGGTTCCCTTGGTTTTGGGTAGGTTTTTAGGGGCTAATGAGATAAAGGGACTATTTTGGCGAGTGAATGGTGGTATTTTAGTTGAGTTATACGGGTTGGAAGTAAGCTTCTGAGCATTTGGAGGCAAAGGTACGAAAGGTGGAAGAGTTCTGGTATAGGCCTGTGAACTTTGGAATTTAGTTTTCTTTAGGATAGATTTTGCAGTAGCTTCTTGATGTTTAACATAGGAAAAGGCTTTCACAACAGATTTACAGTGTTGACAAACAACAAAATGCTGTAACTCCTCCTTTAAACCACC